GTAAAGGCCGGCTGAGGATTTTTTGAGGAAACAACAACGATCTGATGAGACTGAAAATAAGCTCTCAGCTTACGAGCCGTGCAGACCAAAGCAAAAGCAGCCTTTTCTGCTAGCGGGTAGTTCTGCTCGGCACCTTGTAATACCTTGCTGACATAGTAGATAGGCTTCTGACTCTTATTCTCTTCCCTTAGCAGCACTGAACTCACCGCTTCTTCTGTGACCCCCAGATAAAGATATAGACATTCTTCGTTGACAGGCTTAAACAGCAGGGGTGCGGATGCCAAATACTGTTTGAGCTCATCAAACGCCTGTTGACACTCAACAGTCCACTGAAAGTTTTTAGGCTCCCGCAAAGCTTTGAAGAACGGAAGGCACCTTTCTGCCGATCTGGCTATAAACCTGTGCAATGCAGCCACCCGCCCTGTCAGACGTTGTACATCTTTTACTGTCTTGGGAGGTTCCATCTGTTGAACGGCCTGTACCTTCTCTGGATTTACCTCGATTCCTTTCTTGGATACTATGTACCCTAGGAATTTCCTCGATTCCACAGCGAACGTGCATTTCGAGGGATTCAGTTTCATTTGAGCTCGATGCAAGTTTTGAAATGTTTCATCCAGGTCGTCAATGTTATCCTCTGCTCGCACACTGGTGACTATCATGTCATCTACATACACTTCTATGTTTCGGCCAATCTGCAGCTTAAAGATGATTTGCACCAGCTTCTGGTATGTTGCTCCAGCATTTTTTAGGCCAAACGACATCATGACATAGCAGTATATTGCGTCCCCAGCATAAAAAGCTGTTTTTTCTTGGTCGTCTAACAACAGCTGGACCTGGTGGTAACCGGAGCTGGCGTCCAGAAAACTCATCCGTTCGTGCCCAGCTGCCCATTCTACCAACTTCTCGACATTTGGCAACGGATGAGGGTCTTTTGGACATGCGTCATTGAGGTTGGTGAAATCAATACACATCCTCCACTTGTCGTTCGGCTTTTTGACGAGCACTGGGTTGGACACCCATTCGGAGTACTCCACTCTCCTGATGAAACCTGCCTGTAGCAGCTTTTGTATCTCTTCATCAATGGCAGCTTGTTTCTCGGGGCCAAAAAGGCGACGTTTTTGCACCATTGGCCGTTTAGTGAGGTCCGTGCTTAGCTTGTGGACTGTCAACTCTGCGGGGATGCCCGGCATTTCGTCTGTAGTCCACGCAAACACGTCTTGATTGTCCCTTAAAAACTTCAGGAGCTCTGCCCGTTCCTCCTCTGTGAGTTTAGTGCCAATCTTAACCGTTCTCTCTGGCACAGCAGGGTTCAGAGGGACCGTTTCTACTGGCTCTACTGGTTCTGCTTTCTGCTCGACACCCTCAGGTCGGTGTTCAATGTCTGAAATGCTCATTGCCTGCTGAGCAAACCGAGTTGGCTTGTGATTTTCAGAGCCTGTAGGAGCAGCAACGAGCTCAACCTTCTTGAAGGTATCTTGGTAGCATGTTCTTGCCATCTTCTGGTTCCCTTTAAGCACTCCTACCCCCTGAGGAGTTGGGAATTTCATGCAGAGATGAGGTTGTGAGATTACCGCCTTCAGTTCGCAAAGGGTGGCTCTCCCCAGTATAGCG